ACAGTTCGGCTTGCAGGTCCGCCAGCGCGTTTCTGCATACCGAACGTCCCAGGGTCGGCACCACAACTGGTGCTGTGCGCAAGCCCGCGTGCAGCACACTTTTGTTCCGATTTGAGGGGTGGCTCTGGCGAGCCAGCGATATCCCTGGGATTGAATATTCTCTCTGGCCAGCTGCTCCGCCGTGGGGACGCTGGAGTACGGCCAGAACAACGGCTACGACATGGCCCGCCCAGGGTCCAAGGGTCCGAAGGGCAAGCCCCGTTCACCGTCGCCAGCCAGCAGGCGCAAGAACGACTATCTGGTTTGTCCTCAGTGCCCTCCTGGTACCAGCTGGATTTGGAAATCCCAGGCGCTCAAACCAGGACGTGAGACATGCAACAAGTGTGGCATCTTCGACTGGACTTCTCTCCTTCGCCCAGGATCCGTGGTGCGCTTCCAGCTGGACACAGCGCCCGTGGACCCCGCCGTCGCCGCCACCATGCAGAAGGCAGTGGAAGCCCTCAAAGAAAAAGGCGACGAGGCGGGAGCTCGAATGCTGGCAGAGAAGTTATCAAGTGCCCCCGCGCCCAGTCAGCCACCAGCCAAGCCCGCGACCAAGCAGCTGGAGGACGCAGCCGCTACCTTGCGCCGACTCCAGGGCCAGCAAGAGCGCCTCAAGTCCCAGCTCCAGCGAGCAGCGGCCTGGCAAGACGAATTGGTTGAGAAGCTCACCAGAAACATCGACGAGACCCAGCAGGCACCATCAGAAGTGGAACGCCTTTCAGCTCTTCTTCGGGCCAGTGGGGCAGAGCCTCCACCACCTGCTCCGACCGCAGAGGAAGGCGATGATGAGTTCCCCGTTCTGGAAGAAAGCGATGTGGTTCTCCTTGCCCCTGAAGAGCGCACAGCCTATGATCAAGCGATGTCAGTTCACGAGCAGGCCAAGCAGGCCATGGAGAACCACCGCCGCACTGGAGCGCAAGCTCGTGACGCAGTCGCCACAGCCAAGAAGCACCGCGAGACCAGCGCCCTCGAGAAGCGCAAGAAGGATGAAGGAGATCACCGCGGTGCCCCTGCAGCCACTGACGCTGCCCAGAAAGAAGAAGCCGCTGCTCCAGCGCCAACAGCCAACAAGTACGATTTCACGAATGCAGAGGAGGTCAAGCGATTCGTGGACGAGACGACCCGTGTTCGTGCAGCTCAAGTGGCAGCCACCAAGGGCGCGGGCAAGGGCACGAGTCAGCAGTGCTCCTGACCCGCGCTTCCAGCGCCTGGCGACGCGCGACCTGCGCGTCTTCTATGCGAACATCAGCAACTTCTCCTACGCCGCCCGTGAGTTCTGCAGGGATGCGCCATACGACTTCATGGGGTTTGTGGAAACCCACCTGGATGGCAAGCAGCTAGAGGACGAGCAGCGGCACCTCAGAGGCATGGGGTGGCGCACTGAGTATACTACGACACCAGCCACGCCGACGTCGGGAAAGGGCAGCTCTGGGGGAGCTCTCTGGGCGCGCGCGAGGCAGTTCAACACCTTTCCGCATCTTGCCGCGGGGGGTGGCGATGACCTTCTGTGCCAGCAGCTCCATGACATTGCAACCACCATGGTCCGCCTCAAGCACGTAACGGTCGCTTTCATCACTATCTACCTCACCTCGGACCCCAAAGGGCTGGATCTCCCTGCCAACATCTCCAAGCTCAACCAGCTGCTCACGCTCGTGCGCACGCTGGGCACGCCGTGGATGGTCTACGGCGACTTCATCAACACTCCAGAGCAGTTCAGGGCCTCGTGTTGGCACGAAGCTTTCGCGGCTGAGTATCTCCAGCCAAACTGCGAGTTCACCTGCGCGGGAAGCTCAGGGCGTATGATAGATTGGGGTCTATGTTCGCCAACGTTCCTGCCGCTCGTCAAGTCTGTCGAGCCTGTCTATAATGTTCCGTGGCGGCCGCACGTGGGCATTGAGATCCGCATGCACTCGAGGCCTGCCGCTGTTCTGCGCACTCGACCTCTCCTCCCAGCTCCCATTGGGATCCCAGACCACGAGATCCATATTAAGAAAGGGCTCAAGAGGAAGCAGAATGATCGTCACCGCCATGCGCAGCTCCACCATACTGAAGATGGCGAAGTATTGGAACACGGCGGCGATGTGCATGACCACCTGCTGCAAGACCATTACGTCAAAAAGGTGCCGTGCATCGTCGACCACGAAGCCTGGGAGAACTACAAGCACCAGGTCCAGGACATCCCAATCTTGGAAGCCAGCTCGGAGACGCAGCAGCGCATAGCCTACGCACTCGATCCAGATGCAGCTAGCGACCTTGCGGAGTCGTATGGCAGATGGGCCATGGCCGCGGAGGCCTCTCTACTCAACCTGACGGATGCCATGCCGATCAGCGACGAGCGCCGTAGAGGACAACCGCTACGCTATCGGCTCGAGCAGATGATACGCCAGACTGACCCCACGTACATCCAAGCAGGCACCAAGCAGCTTGAGACCAATGCCTGGATCAGCCTCACCAGCCA